CAGTTTCATGATTGAAGTAGAAACAGGAGAGAATGAGAGAAGAAGAGGCAGCTGTGCAGCAAAGACACAGAATAACTACAGCTTTGTGTCTTTTTCATTGTAGCTGAAGTCCGGGACAAACTGTTCCTTTTCACCTCAATACAAAACGCGTAATATTTTCTCTGAATACCAGATGATTCCGTTTTTTACAGTACGGTTGGAAACTCTAATAACTAACCTCACAAATAAAATAAGATAAAACAAGTTCAACATCAGTAACATCATAGCACCCGCCCAGCAGTATATAAACTCTGTCATGCTAGCTAGTACACAGTACGAGTTATTGTAACTGACTGTAAAAAGTCAGCATAACGAAAATAAACTTGGTTTATATCTGACCCAGATAGACTGCAGGTCATAACTTCTTACCTGAAGTTCAGTTCACCGCCTCAGGTCTCTGCTCCTCCTGCCTTTCTGTCATCCACCTGCCAGCGTGTTGCACCTGCTGGCCTCCACCACTTGTTAATGTTACTGAATCTGTGGAAGCTCCGCAATAGCCACCACCAAACAATTGAGTTATTTTTACACATCTCCCAGCATCTGGCCAATCCACCACCGTTCAGTGTTCATACCGTTACGGAAAAAACGAAAAGAAAAAAAAACAACAACATCGGCCCATAAAAACGAAAAATCACCATCGGCCCACCAGTCAAATGCCCGGTATGCCCGACGGCCAGTCCAGCTATGGCTCAGAATCATTTTAATGTCAGTTAAGAAAACCTTGACTAAGAGATGGCTCCAAGCAGGAACACAAGAACTGTGCAATACTGCCTATCAAATACTTTTAATAGAAAGGCTTACTATGTCTTTGCAGCTTCACAGAGATAAATTCAACAAACTCTGGATCAAATGGCCCCAGTACATTAAAGAGTTAAGAAGTTTGTCCAAATAACTTATCTTAACTAGTAAAATTGTATGTGTATGGACAAATAGTATGTATATAAATATGACAAATATCATTAATCCTAATGTAAATACTTCGTGTAAGATCATCAATAAAAATAAAACAAACAAATAAATAAAAAGAACATAAACAGACACTTTAAAAATCACATTAATGACTCTGTATTATCAGAACAGTTTGCACCACTTATTTGTGGGTGCCCTTTAGCATCTGAATGGATGGCTGCTGGAGCTTTTCTGCAAGGATGGAGAGTGAAAATGATGAATTCACATCAAGTATAAAGAATATAGTATAGTATATAGAAGTATATAAAGTATATAGAAGACTTGAAAATGCATTGAAAATAAAGGAAAGGTCTGTATTGTGATGATGGTTGATATTTGTGTCTGTGATTTTATCATTAATACAATTTTAATTTTACATCACTTACGTTTTGTGAGTTTAATATTATTCACTTTGTCTTCACCCTCACTGCTGAGGAGGTCTACAGTGTATTCAATGGCATCATTTTCCTTCAGGTTGTGAATTGTTAGGTCACCTACAGAATAAAACACATTGAAACAAAATCCATAAAGAAATAAAACTACAATTCCTTTGCAATAATAAAGCTGATAAATGTCACCTGATGTTGTGTTAAGAGTGAGTCTCCCTGTGTACTGAGGGAAATGTTCAGTGTTTATTTTCCCTCGTTGATAAGTGACAATCCAAGTGATGTTGGTGAATATTGACCACTCAATTCTGATGAGACTCCATGATGGGTCGACTCCTGAAGGTTTCTCCAAGATAACCATAGACTTAGAGGTGATTTATCTACTGCTGCTGTTTGTACACCTTGTAATGCTGTTAAATAAATACATGAACACATTTAGTAACACTGTACATTGTCTCTCAGGTTTAAACATTAAAAAAGAGAGGAAGAGCACTTCTATAAATACTTTTGAGTTTCGATTTTAAAAAAAGGGTAAACATTTCAATTCCATTGCATTAGCCAACAGTTTTAGTTTGTTTTCGTTTGACCCACACCTAAATAAGATATTATCATAAAATGGCTAATGGCAGCTATCTGTCACATAATAATTTTTTTGATCTTCATTAGAAATAATTTGACATATTTCTAATATTGAACATCCCTTGTCAATTTTTCTTTTTGGGCCAAACTGATAATCCCAATAATTCCCTCTGTCTAGATATCAAACATTCTCCCTTTTAAGGGTAAACTAGGGTAGATATCAATACAGATTTATACTATACCACTATACTCACTTTTCTTGGCATAAATCTAAAAATCCAAAGAGAAAATGTGGGCATTTATGTCCAGCATTTAAGGCGATTAATTCAAAAGTAAAGTTTTGTACTTCTACCTAAGGAAACTAGTAAGTTACTCATTTTTAAAACAAAAATGTAGAAATATTTAAAACTTTTTTTTATCTCGAGGTCTGGCACATCTGTGGATGATAAATAGCTTCAGATAATGTTCACAGGACATACCTTGAATGAAAACTATAAGAAGGGTTGGTAGTCTCATGGTGGTTGGCGTGAAACACAGTAAAAGTGCTATGACTTTCTTTTGTTCTTACAGCCAGAAGGATCCAGAGGAAGCGTACGTTACACCCGGTGAAGATTGTTAATAAATTTCCTTGTGTACATCAGAATTTGGAGTCCTGTGTGTGAATCCTCAAAAGAGTCTTTTTTGTATTTACTACATTGCTTTGTCCTTTTTCCACATCTGCCTCCATCACACCAACCCTCTGCATGTTGTCCTTCACTACAACCATAAACATTCTTCCTTTTCTCCTCCTTCCTAACAGCTCCATATTCATCTTTTGTCCAATATATCCACATTCCCTCCTTTGAACATTTCTAAACCATCTCAGCCTTGACTCTTTAACTTTATCAAAATGCTCCAACTGAGCTGTCCTCTGATGTACTCTTTTTTTATGCTGTCTATCCTGGTCACGCCCAATGAAAACCATAACATTTTCATCTCAGTGACCTGTCTTCACATCACCCTTGTTCTCTCTGTTCTTTAAAATCAGTCGAAGTACTCTTTGTCTCAATCACCAAACTGTGTTAACGAGTTTGTTTAAAAAGCCTGCTGCCCTGTCAGGTATGTCATCCAGACCAACTGCCCTCTGCACTTCCTGATTCACTACCTGTCCTCCATCTGGGAAGTGTTCACCACACCCATGTCCATTCTTTTTGGAAATCTACAACCATTTGTCTTTCTGTGTTTCCCTCCTTGACAACATACCTGCCCAACACCTCATCTCCTACACCTGCATATCCATTAAGAGAGATAAGATATGTCCCCCATGTGGGAAATTTGTTGGGTCATGGCAGAAAGTGGACAGTACAAAGTTATAATCATCAAAAATTAAGAAAAACAATAGAATAGAATAAGATGAAATAGAATAAGATAATATATACAATGGAATAAAATACTGTACAAAATAGAATACAATATTATTAAAGTCAGCTCCAATCAACACTCTCTCTACTGGGGACCCTCTTTACCACATCATACAATTTACTACAGAAATAGTTTACTACTTAACATTTTCATTAAAAAAAATTCCTGTTATATCATGTTTATCACTTTTCTTCTAAATATTCCTGTTATCAAAGTTACAAACCTCTATTTTTTGGTACATTTCACATCTTTCTTTCAGTTTTTCTCTTGGATTTATTTTATTGTTTCATCTTCAATAGTATGACATTTATATTTTGTATTATTGTAGGTTATGTTTCCGTAGTATTGCAAATTCAAATTTACTTTAGCTACATGGAATCTCATGACTGTGGAAATTTGTCACCTCGTGTTAGGGCACACACACTACTACGTTTGTCAGTGTCACTTCCCTTTTTCAGACCAAAAAAAAAAAACCCCACCCACAACTCAATGGTGACACATATGAGGTTTGACTGACATCATTTAATAGTGTTTTTTTTTTCAAGACTAAATAGCCTTAAAAGACAGTGACCTGTAGAGATGAGTGTTAGAGATTAATTGCAGTACAACAAAGTGACAGCAAAATACACCTGATAAAACATAAAATTACATTTTAAAAACGGGAAACACTCTACATGTACATGTAAACTGCTCATCAGTAACGTCTAACTATCTGTATTGTAAAAAAAAGACATTTTTGAATGACAAAAGACATGTAATTATATCCATCATTTAAATCAATAGCTTTGTTATTACTCCAGACAACCAGGCTCTAGCTAGTGTTATAGATTCTTCTACTCATAACCATTAAAGGTTGACCCCCATACACAGACATAGCACAGGGCTAGATAAGCTTCAGGTGCCCATGGTGGTGCAATGTCTGCACCACCTAATCATAGGTGGATTTCTGCTGCTTCAGTTTCAGAAATTTAACAATACAGTCAACCTCTTGTGTGTTTTATTGTCATCCATACTTTCTCATGTTTCATAATAAATGCCCCCTGCAGTAATAAAGGGCACCTATGCAATGAAACTCTAAAGATTTTTAAGCATATCTGCACTGCACAAGACATAATGTGGATTGCACAACACTGGTCACTATATTCTTCATTTCCGGTTAATACTTGTACAGCTGCTGTTATTGTGTATATATTTATATTTCTTCATACATTCTTATATAGTTCTATACTGTGTATTGTGTATTTTGTTGTACAGTTATTTTATTTTCAACTTTAATTTATATATTTTATCTTATTCTTTCCCAGTTAAATTTACCCTTCATTCTAATTTGTGTTGTACAGTTATTTCATTTTTAACCTTAATTTATATTTTATTCCTTCCTAGTTAAATTTACCCTTTTTAATTTTTCATATTTATTTCCTATCTTATTCATAGCCTTTTCCTTTTTTGTTTTCTTTAGGTCACGAGCAGTTGTCCAAGCATTTCACTGCATATCGTACTGTGTATGACTGTGTACGTGACAAATAAAATTTGAATTTAATTTTAATTTGAAATACTTGCAGGAAGTTTTTATTTTTAGAGCTTCTGCAGTTTCAAAACAGCCTGATATAAGCTCTCATACAGGCCCGCTGCTAATATAGGCCCGACTTCACCAGCATTAATGCATCGCTATTATTAATCCAATAGGACTTTAAAATAGGCCGTAAAGACTAAATGTATTCATGAGGCTAATGTAAATTATTGAATATAGTATTTTTGCTTATAGAGGAAGACTTTATAAAGTGGGAAGTGCATAGTGTGGTGGTTAGCACTGTTGCCTCACAGCAAGACGTTCCTGGGTTCAAAACAACCATCTGTTAAGGGTTTCTCCCCATGTTTGCCTGTCTGGGTACTTTGGTTCCTCGACAGTCCAAAAACATGAAGTTAGTGGGTTAAGATCAACTTTTGATTCTGAATGTGGTTGTCTGTTTCTCTTTGTTAGCCCAGTTACCTCTTGATCTATGATACCTGGGACAGGTTCTAGGCCCTGCTCTTAATTTAGCTTTTCTTTACCCCATCATGTAAAACATTTCTGTTGATGGAGCTTTCAGTGAGTGACCAAACCACATAAAAAATACAAAACATATTTCTGAAACAGTCAAATTGTTAATCCAGACTTGGTTAAAATTTCATATTTACTGCAAAGTTAGCATTTCACCTTCATTCTGTGGAATAAAACATATAAGAAGAAATAGTTCAAAGATGGTTTCATGTCTCCATATTTAGGTTATGAAAGCAGTCTATAAATGTCAGGCAAACTTTTAGTAAAGTTTTCTGTTCATTATTTGCCTTTCACGGTCAGTCTGGCAGGAACTAAAAAAAGGAAAAAAGAAGATGCTAAAGAAAGAAAAGAGAACTGAGCTTAAGTCTGAGAATGATAAAGTAAAGTGGAGCCTTTCAGGTCTGCTTACATATGAAAAGGTCATTTTGAACAGTAAAAATACTTGAATATTTTCTACAGCCAATCAGTATCCTACATGGATCTATAATGGGTGGATCTTAGGTAAATGGTGTAGTAATAACACATTTTTCAAAAATCTAATTTAAAGAGCAAACAAAATGCAACAACGGGAAGTAGAATCACTTAGCGAAGTTAACAGGCAGCAGTTTTACAAGCAAGTAAACGGAAGATGGTCAGCGACCTGCTATTTTTGTGGCCTTGGTGTTTTTCCTATATTCATGTCAGTAAAGACCATTCTGTCTCACACTCTGAAAAACAGTCATGACAATCAGGCTTTAAATACTGCAAAGTAAATAAAGAAAAAACAAAATATACCTTAAAAAAGTCCCCCCCAAAAATTTGCCCTCAGTTATTAGTACATATGATGCGACATCCTGCCCCTCCTCTGCCTTGTCCTGTGCCTCTCCCCTCCTACACAGACGTCTCTGACTGAAGCTTCATGACAAACTTGTGGCTTTTGGGATCAATGAACTCTTCGGCTATGTGCAAGAAAGGAAGCGGCGTTACTGTCACAATCAGAGAAAGGTCGAGGCGCCTCAGGCTGAAGACGTGGCCTTGACGCAGAGAGGCGGTCACTGGCTCCTCGCTCACTAGTGTCCACTGGCGCCCCTTGTTGCTGTCCAGGTACTGCAGGGTGGGGCCCGGGACGAGGTAACGCTCTAGGAAAGCCTTTAACCACAGCAGACAATGTGCAGAATGGTTTGTGAACAAAATCCATCAGACTGTTTAATGTGGCTGGATGTGATGTCAAAAACAAATGCTGCCACTACTTTAATGCTGGACAATTTTGATCACAATTCATAATCAAATGTAAAACATTTATAAAAGAAATTCACACTGTTTTCATACTTTGTCTTCTTACACAAGAGCAGAATTCATTTATTTGAACCTTTAGCTGGAAATAGTGCATTTCTGCTTATTGTATCATATTTTTATTTCTACGTTCCTGACACAACGCTAAAGGGATGTGTGTCTCCTCCCAGGACTGAACTGGGGAAAATCACGCACACAAACTGACCCTCCTTACCTTTGGTGTCATGTTGTGGGTAATGCAGAACTGCAGGTGGCTGATGATGCTCTCCATGCTGTGGTAAGTCTGCTGCCTGGTTGCACGAAGGTACTTCTGCATGGCCCGCGCCATGGGGGCAAATATGGCCTGAGCTGCCTCCCTGGGGTCCATCACCTCCCGCGGGTGTTTGGGAGACGAAGTGACTGCATCTTCCTGCTGATGACGTTTGATGTGGGTAAAAGCTTCTTCTACTGCCACCACCAGCCTGTGAGGATTAAGGACACCATGACTCCACTAAACCAATTTCATCTACATTACAATCTGCAAATTCTATACTTCTATGTTTATTACCCCAGGGGGAAAAAAAGAGCATAATTTTAGGACTTTCAGGTAAAAACGTAATAATATGAATTCCACAAATTTAGTTAGTTCATGACAACAAACATCTTAACATCATTTTTTGTGTTTGTGCTTCCTTCTTATCTTTGAGTATATTTATATGATTATGTTTTAGTAGGAAAACAACCTTTTAAGTTTAACCAAGTCTGCAACTTCTGCATCTTTGTCAGTGAATACTTCTGTATTCACGCACCCGTTAGTACCTGGCTTTGCGTTTGCGGACCTTCCGCTCCACCTCGGCCTCTTCATAGTAGTACTCGTTGTGAGAGTTGTCTCTTCTCCGAGCGGCCGCTGCAATCATGGCTCTGGACTGGCCTGTGGAGTTGTTGGTGCTGTTGTCTGTGAACAGAAATGTGTCATTTAATTCGTGAGCAGAGTAACACGGGTGGCTCTGATACTTCTGATGAGCTTATCAGTTATTATTTCATGTAGAATTTGGAAGAAATAAATTAATAGACTCGTGCTTGTGTGAAATTCACTATGCAATCTGAAGCTATGGCTTTACATGTGGAGGTGAAAACTCCTGCTTTTTCATTCAGCGTCATTTATTTCACTCGGACTGATAAGGTTTTTTGCTCAGCTGAATTGTTACCTTCCCCCAGGTTGTAGACTTTGAAAGCAGACATTTTCTTGGTGAGGATGGACTTGGGGAGGTTAAGCAAAGCAGGGTTATAAACCGGAAAGTCGCTGTAGTACTGATCGAGAACCCACGCTGCGGCCCTCTGAATGCTGCATTGCACAACAAAGAGGAAGAAAGTTTGTTAAAACGGACGCAGAGTTGTTATCAGCGTCGGCAACCTTAACATCCTTGCTGCTTTACTGCCCCTGAAACAGGAAGAAACAGCAACAGTCACTCAGATGGAGCGCTGCTCAAAAAACGGTTGCTGTGGAGTGACAACGTAAATCAATCATAACAGTGTGAAACAAGAAAAAGTGCACAGCAGTGCAAGAATTATAAATCACATGCAACAACAATCCTCTGCTATGAAGTACGCTGCATTGGCCACCTCATTAGGAACACCTGTTCAACTGAATATGAACACAAATATCTGATCAGCCAATCACAGGGCTCTGCATTTAGGCATGTAGACATGATCCAGACAACCTGCTGCAACACTCAGATGGTAAGTGTAGTGGCACAAAGAACATGAAAGCATGGCTCCGTCGTGCCTTCATCAACAGTTCAGGCTGCTGCTGGTGGTTTGGTGGTGTGGGGGATGTTTCCTCTGCACAGATTGGGTCCCTTCATAGCAGCTGATCTTTATTTAAACACCACAGGCTGCATGGGTATCGTTGCTGATCATGTCCATCCCTTTATGACCACAGTGTGTACAGCTCCATGGCAACACGCAAAGTCACAATATTCTTGGTTTCTTTAGCAATGACAAAGACAATGACTTCACTGCACTCAAATGACCTCCACAGTCACCAGGGCCCTATTACAGGAAGCAGGTTCAACAAACTCTGAGTTTAAAAAGAAACTGTGGCTTGAATAACTGTGAGATCGACAATTTTGTTCACCCTGAGTTAAGTGCAAAATGATCAGAGCTGAACAGGATCTGGGCCTGATCCCGTCTGAATCTGTGATCCTTATCAGCTCTCACCCATCCTGCTGTGCAATTGGACATTTATAGCATACGTCTGCCCTCCTGAGCTGTCTGGTCCATCCAGAGCTTATTTTTTTTCTCCCCTTCTCGAGTGTTGCTGGGCTGTTCCTTTTTCTATCTATAACGTCTTTAACTTGAAGATGACTGTTATTGTGATTTGCAATCCTCTAAATAAAATCATCACCTAATTATGGCCACATATTTTGCAGTTGTGTTGAGTTTTTAGTCCGATCGCTCTGCTTGCACCACCAGCACATGCTTGCAGCTTCACAGCAGAGCCAAAGGTTAAGAGGGGTCTAACACACATAGCATGGGCGTGACTTCCTAACCACCCACAGAAAATGAAAGCAACACCATCCACACGATCTTTGCATATTTTAAAAACCACTCACTGCGGTTTGGTTGGTAACTGCAGGAAAACTAGAGCAATGACTAAAACTGAGAATTAGTGCAATGCATTGAGGTCAAGAGTCAAAGTTGTAGGACTGAACAGTTCCACCGACACTGTGGGGAAAACTTCGTAACAAAATCTGGACTTTTTTTTGTGGGTTGATCCACATGCGGTTTGGAGAAAATAATGCATGTGGTGCAAAACAAAGTGGGCTTTTTTTGGACATCTTAGCAGTGGGTTGAAACGAACATGACCCAGACAGATCAAACAGTGATGAAATGCTGCCCCCTACTACAGCGTGGCCAAACTCTGCAGCAAGTGTCACTGAAATTTAAAAAGCATTATTTCAGAGAACTCGAGAAAAAAAAGAGACACAAAAAATAGACAAATACTCCTGATTTTCCACAGTTACTAACCTGAGATGTCCCACATTGTAGAAGCGGCTGACTCCATCTGTGCTCCTCACAACCTTCAGAGAGAAAGCAGGCTGCAGGTGTCTGACCTCCAGCAGCACGAGGGCTAGGTACTGAATGAACAACAATGCGTCCACCAGAGATGCTGCATAGCCCACAATCCCCCTGTAGTCTGTCTCTCTGGGCTCCAGCACCCGCACCCCATAGAAGAGCCAATAGGACGCCACGAAGAGAAAGACCAGCGCAAGCAGCAGACAGCGAAACACAAAGAAGCGTGGCAGAGCGGCTCTGGGCGGGCGGAGAAACAGCGCCCACGTGGAGATGAGGAGGATCAGGAGCTTGAAGGCGAGTGAAATGTAAAGGCCTTCGCACGGCGTGCCACAAGGGTCCAGTGAGTCCCGCCACAAGAGCTGTGGGAGGGCCAAGAAGGCCAGTGGAGTGATCAGAGAGACGAAGCCCAGAATGGCTCCCAGCGCTGGGCTGATGTAACGCCGGCACTCCAGCGCTGAAGAGTCGTCTGAGTCCTTAGATAGCTGCGTCAGGTCCTCGTTTGAGATGCTGTCCACGGAGGTGCCGGTGACCACCGTGGTCGTTTCACCCCAGTTGTCATCCTGAAGGAAGAGGTCAGTGTCAGAAATGCTGCGGCTATGAAGAACATTTGTTACAAGACTAAAAATGAAAAATGAATCTCTCACCCTGTCGTCCTCTCTGGGGGAATCTGCGTCCAGCAGCGACTCCCCCGGAGCCTGGATGACCACAGATTTCTCTCCACGGATGCTGCCATCGCGATTCTTAGAGCGATGCCTGTCCCTTCTCTCCCTGCACACACACAAGAAAAAAGTAGTTATCGTCTACAAACGCACAACATTTAATTCATGTCAGCAGATTTTGATCTGATTCTTCAGAAGCGGTTGTGGTGAAACTCTGCTATTTAAGAAAAAACATCATTTTATATTTTTCCATAATCTACTGCATTGTTATTATGAACATATAATGTAATTATACACTACTGTTTCATGTAACTAGCGTGTTGACTTTATCTAGTGTCTTTAAAGATATGTGTTACTGTTTATTTACTAGTGAATGCCCGTGCTCTAGAGTTGTTTGTTTGATTTTAGTCAGATGATTTATATGTCAATTAACAGACTGTCCATTGATGACATAGCAATACAATGTGGTGAAAAAATAGTTGCTCCCCTCCAGATTTCTTAGTTTTTGGCATATTTGTCACACTTACATGTTCCAGATTATCAAACAAATTCTAATATTAGACAAAGATAACTAAAGTAAAGACAAAATGCAGTTTTTAGACTACGTCTTGATGCGTGCTCAGTCATCCAGGTAAGTAAATCTCCAAAAGTTGATTCTGTTCATCTGGACGTAGCGTTTTGTGGGAGAGTTTGTGCTCCAGTGGATGATGAGAGTCAAACTTTAAATACTGATCCGTATGCGTAGGTTTACGGTACACATCAGCTTTTAGATGTCCCCCGTTACTGATGGAAATCTCACAGTCTAAGAAGGCTAACCTGCCACTTTTCATATCCTCCCTGGTGAATTTGATGTGTCGGTCCACCGAGTTAATGTGATCCATGAATTGTGGTACATCCTGAGATTTGATTTTCACCCAGGTGTCATCCACATATCCAAACCAATGGCTTGGTGGTGTTCCAGGGTAGGATAGCAAAGCCCTCTGTTCCACTTCTTCCATGTACAAATTGGCCACGATGGGTGAAACTGGGGAACCCATGGCACACCCATGTTTCTGCCTGTAGAACTGACCCTTATATGTGAAGTAGGTGAAATGAAGACAGTTCCAAAAGCAAACACACTTGGTCGATGCTGAGAGTGGTCCTGTTGCTGAGGTTGGTGTCATCCTGTAATCTCTTACAAACTACCTCCAATGCTTCCGTGACTGGGATGCAAGTGAACAGAGATGTAACATGGTTTCATCTGCCTCCATAATGACATCTCTCACCTTCTCAACAAAATCCAACGTGTTCTGGACGTGTTCTCCCACTGAAAACGCTACGCCCAGATGAACAGAATCGACTTTTGGAGTTTTTAGACAATGATTTCATTATTAAGGGGAAAACACTTACCCAAACCTACAGCCTGCATTAAAATGCAAGTGCCCCTAAAACTGGCAGTGCCAAAAAACTAAAAAACTGAGGCTTTCACATGTGGAGGACGTTTTGTTCCGCTCTTGAGCATGAGCTGATGGTTGGATATTCTCCTTCAGGATTATCTGGTAGGGATCAGAATTCATGTCCCGAAGCAACAGAACAGCCCCAGACATCACACTACCACCACCATGTCTGACTGTTAGTATGATGGTGTTTTTCTGAAATGCTGTGTCAGTTTAATGCAGATCTAACAGGACTCAAATCTTCCAGAAAGTTCAGCTTTTTCCCCCCAAAAGTCTTTGGGGTCAAAGATGTTTTTTGGTAAATGTGAGACGAGCCTTTGTGTTCTTCTTGCTCAGCAGTGATTTTCTCCTTGAACTCTCGCATGGATGGCACTTTTGCAGTCTATTTCTTATTGTTGAATCATAACCTCTGACCTTATCTGAGACTTGTGAGGCCTGCAGTTCTTTACATGTTGTTCTAGGTTCTTTTACGACCTCCTAGATGAGTCGTCAGTGTGCTCTTTGAGTCATTTTGGTAGGCAGGACACTCTTCACCACTGTTCAAAGTTTTATCCATTAGTGGATAATGGCTCTCACTGCAGTTCACAGGAATCACAAAGCCTTACAAATGGCTTAGACATAACTGGCTGTTTGTCAGCCGTTTCTTTAAGTCATGGCATGATGTGTTGCTTTTTGCGATCGTTTGTGATTTCTTGATTTGGCAGGTCTAGCAGTAATAAAGCCCGAGTGCAATTAATCACAGTTAATTCAGGATTTAACAAACAGGGCAATTCTTTTTTCACAGAGGACCGGGGAGGTGTGGATAAATCACACCTGCATTTCGTATATTTGTCTAATATTAAAAGTTTTGTGGATACAAATTAGATGTTACTGTTGTGAAATTAAAATGATTCAGTGGTTTTATAAGATGTCAGAAGTATCATTTTCGCTTGTTGTCATGTGGTTGTTATGCACCATGATGATATGTGATCACAGTACTTGATAGTGATAGTTTCGCTGCTCACGTCCTAATCACAGATTTGGTTTATTACTGTAAGAGTTGTGACATCCAGCTGTAATATGACTGAAAAGTTCATCGATCATTAGAATTTAGATTTAAAGACCTCAGCTTGGCCTTTCAGAAATGCTCTGCTATTTTAAAACGGGGTGAGGACAATGACAGACACAAACACAAACACTGGACAGCATTGCTGCTCAGCTTGCTTCTTCTACCTGTGTTTGCGGGAACTCCTCGAGTGGGATGACTTGTAAGAGTATCCCGAGTACGTTGACTCGTTGTCCATGTCAGTGATCGGCGGTGGGCGGAGTTTCTGGGCCACTCCTGTCCCCAAGCCGCCCTTGTCCCAGGCCACTCCCAACTGGCTCTTGCAGTTGCTGATGGACTTGGTAGAGAGGGCCAGAGGGAGGCGCAGCAGATCCACTTTACTCCTGAGGGAATCTATCTTGGAGCCTTGGGAGAAGACGGAAAGATGGGGGAGGAAGACAGAGTGAGAGATTAATTATAGATAGGGAGTGTTTGGAAAAGGCATGGAGACCATTTGGGAGAGAGAGAAAGCTGAGAGAGAAGAGAGAGGGAGAGCGGGGAGAGGAGGCAGAGAGATGAATGAAGAGAAGGAGGGATAGGAAAAAGATAATTTGTCATGTGAGACAGAAGTAAAACAGTCTCAGAGGGACACATACTGAGGAATGGCAACAAGAAGAGAGACAGCTTTGTTGAAATGTTGGCACTCTAAGTGTATGGAAGAGCATAACTGAGCCCATTATTCTGCCTTTTCTTTTTTTAAATGAGCAAACTGAGTGATTTGGCTCCAAGTGTGTTCTCAGCCAATGAAGGGCAACCACATCACCTTCTATTCTTAGGCTGCAAGTCTCCAGTGTGCAGGACACACAGGAACAGATGCCCAACATGGCAGCCGCTTGAAAATATTCCTGCTTTCTTATACGTGAAAAACTTGGAAACGTGCAGTTTTTAAAAAAAAGAAAGAACTTTGTTGCTTTTTAAAGTGAGCTTCATTAATTTCGGTATATTTAACCTTCCGTAGTGTTTTGTTGTGGGTCGGTCTGCGATCTGCATTCTCGCCCACATTCCCCAACTGTCCCCCGTGGTCTCCTGGGGCAACGGAGCTTAGCTACTACAATGGGGATGAATGGGAGGCTAGCGGTGAGAAAAGACAGGAGGGGGAGCAGTTGTCGTGGCGACCAAAACATCAACTCAGCAGCACCCCATCCTGTTCTCTTATCCCTCAACTGCACACCTCAAGACTTTTTTTAAACTAAGCAAATCTGGCATCATTGTAAGGACATTCCTCTGAATCCACAGACCTGTAATCTGTTTTTGTTTTCATGCAGATAGAGCCGGGTTGTTTTCTCATGGTTACTTTCCAAACTGCCTGCAGAAAAAGCGGACACTTAATCTAATAACAAGCCACCTCGTGCTCTCAGTTTGTGCCGTGACCTTGAAGCATCACATCTCCACATTAGAGACTTCAGGTTTTACTTAACGGCTTTCATGTGATTCAAACATGGACTTCTCAAGAGGGACATTTTGCAAGAAGGCGCATGAGTAGGTTTAAATTTTAGGAGATCGGACCTTCATGTGGAGTTGTCTGACATCCACAGAGGGTCACTGAAAATTTCTGACACTTAAATATCAATATTTCTCTGACACACTGATTTATTTACTTTGTAGAAGCTGTTATTATTTTAATAATGCAGAAATGAGGACCACCGCTTTAAAAGGGAACCTGTTATATTCAACTTCCATATTTTTATTAGACCTCACTCATTCAGTTTTGCATAACTCACAGTTAAATATAACCCTTATTTGTTTTATACTGGGGCTCTGTGCACCCCCTCTCTTCACTGTCAAAAACAAGCAGTTTTAGTTCCCTTCCCCCTCCTTGTTAGACAAGTTTATTCTGATTGGCTGCTCCTAGCAAACAAAATATTTAAACAGCAGATGGGTGGGGCTTCTTTGTTCTCAGCTGGAGATGTGTGCCTTATCAGGGAACATATTAGGATATCTGCTTGCACTGACGTAATGAAGAAACACAGGTTGAAAGAAAACTGAATCCTGAGCTTCTGGTTCACAGCGGACAAACTGTTTCACATCTTCCTTTTTAAGACAGCTTTCTTCTGATTAACAGCCCCTTATAAACAGAAGACTTAAAAAGTAAGTTGGAGTTAGTTCTGTGTTTAAAGCTAGAGCTATGTGTGTGAGATGATGATATTAGTGATACTGGCCTCTTGATACTGATACTGAAAAAGATATCCATGTACGTGTGGACGTGGCCTAGAGCTTGTGGCTCACATATAATTGACTGTACATACGCTGACCTGATTATTTAGAAATCTGGCCATGTTTTAGAACAAACAGTTAAACAGAGCCTTCAGCTTTCAGGCCCCTGAAAAACCTGGAACCAGGTTTGGATTCATGAGAGAGACACTATCTCTACTTAAAAAGTGTGGACTTTTATCCCAATAAAAGTCAAATGTCTCCTCAGTTTTCATGTAAAACCTTCTTTGAATGTATATGAGGTAAAAGAGGGAACACATAAATGAAGTGAAGAGTTTAGCAATGAGTTGCTAAGCATAGTTTTTGTCTGCTGTGTCCACAGGGCATAAAACAGCATTCTTGCCTCCTTAGAGAGAGACATGGCTGTATGGACTACCTGTCACAGCACCATGCTGGGCAGAGCGCTCTGCCAACTTTCTGGATAAAAATGGAAATCACTGTGACCTAAGAACTCATATTCCCTGTTGACACGATGAAAAATTATCTTCAGAGCTGCTGCAGTTTGAGCATGATTCCTCTCATCAAGACAAAGGTTTTTGTTTTTTATCAAATACTGTCTCAAACAGAAAAAGGAGCATGAGAGAGTGGTGGTTACAAACCATCAGGACTGAGTGAAAAACAGCCCCACAGTTACCTCTATGGATGTCCTTGACTACGGGAGGCATACTGACACATGCTCAAGTAGAATATTTTATCTCTGCAGACAAACACAAACTTAATGCAAAATGTCAGAATTTACAGTAAATGTTTCTGACAGATTGGAAACTATTTTTGTGCCATGAATGTGAACAAAACCAGCCCCTCATCTCTCTCTCTCACGCTGACAGGACACAGTTAATCACATCCATCACACTGATCAGATAAGGCTATCCCACTGTAATCGATTCACTAGTTGATTTACACTGCAGTCCACTGTCATGTGAGATTTTCCACGTGCAGTGTGGAAAGGGGACTGCCAGCACTTAAACTAAATCTGAATTTAAGAGGCCTGCCTCAAAGTCCTAAGTTGTTGTTGTCAGTGTTTACTAGCGTCCACTTCTGCCGATGCTGAGAGATAACCATCTGTGGATTTGCATTTTTAAAAAGCTTTCATTGCCTTCATATCACTGTGTCCTTCCACTCATGTTTAAATTAAATGCATTTGTCAGCAGGTGAAACTTTGTATTTTTTAAATCAGTTTAGGATGTTTTTAACTCTCTGTCGCCTCATGTCTAATTCTGTGACTCACAGGGGTCTCCTGTCCTCCGGGTGGCAGTGAGCCAGTGAGGTGTGGGTTGCCTCCTGTCCTCACTCCAAGAGTCAACCCTAAACAGAGTAGTTGAATAATCCAGGACTCTACAAACACTCAAACAGCTGACATGATAGATGTGACGGCGCTTCCAGGGAAGGTTTGCACGTAACGCGATTTTACTTTAAGCGTCAAAGAGAATCGGTGTTGAAACAAAGCAGAGCATGCAGGCTGAAGTGATGCTGCTGTGAGCAGCAGACTGGTGACCAACAGCAAATAAGTTGGTCACCAGTCTTTTATTTCACGATAGTCTACCCACACGCGTGGCGCAAAGTGCGTCCTTAAGCACACTGTGCGTAAAAGTCCACGGATGAGAGGCTGAGCACCAGCTTCTATCAAGTGTTGTGGTGCTGGAGAAATGCATGTATATTAAACTAGTGTAATACCTGCAGGAAGGTTTTTCCAGAGGTCCTACCTTTCTCCCTGAAGGAAAAAGCGGCAGCCTGCAGCACAAAGAGCCGCTGTTAGCAGCAGCAGCGGTGCCAGAGGGCAGCGTGTCCAACAAAAGCGACTCCAAACGCTCCCAATTCACTTTCTCTCATCTGTCCACAGTTTCCTCGCTCATTTACAGCAGGAGCGAATGTTGACTCTCCGCTGTGCGCACACTTTGTTTTATTTTTCTCTTTAATAAAATCCTCCCAGCGAACATCAACAACAGGCTGCGGGTCAGACCTCATCCCCGATCTACTTCTGCGGCGTCCCGCTGTGAGGGGGGTCTCGCACGCACGTACTGAACCGGCACAGTTGGAGTATATTCTCGGCTTCCGGTACGGATTTTCATAATAAAACTGAACTTTCAAACTCAAAGACAATGCGAAAATCATCTCGAAAACCTTAAAAACTTCCCTGGTTGTATTTCCACAGCCACCTGATTATTTATTTACGATCTCTTAACATGGAAACTGAATTTCATATCTTTTCCATATAATACAGAAAAGCAGGTTTACCAAGAAAGCCTTAGAAACTCTCATTCATGCTTTTATTTTGAAACTATGTTTCCTGTCTTGTCCATGACTCTTTAATAATCTGGTTTCTAAGCCAAAAAACCGCACTAATCAGACTTTTCTAACTTTTTCAGTTACAATCTATCACAATCACACCTAAAATATGGGTTTTTGTTTTTGTTTTGTTTTGGGGGGGGGGCAGGAAACGAGGGCTCTCCTACATTGTCTCTTCCTACTTTCTGTTCTATGAAGGATAGACACCAATGCCAGGAAAATATTTATAACTGATGACTAAGGTGGCTGATGTGCAGATACAGGAGAGGTCGAAGTTTAGAGAGAAGAAAAACAAAACAAGACAGCACAACAAAATATATTTGAATCAAAGAGTCACAATCCGTGCCAGTCCTCTTTAACCAGTTTCTTTTTTTAATCTCACAAAACACATGAATCTGAGACATGAGCTCTTTTTTTCCTTCTGTGCAGCTAACAATCTCACCAAGTTTAAAAACAAAGGAGAAGAAAATAATTTATACATCATTTTTTTTATATCTACAAAAATAAAATCAAATACAATGACTAACGCTTTACAGAAAAAAAAATTAACGTATATAAAACAAGTGGGTTGATCTCTATATTACATGTGAACAAGATTTCTTCTTTTTAAAAAAAGACACAAAAATAAAGAATGAGATGATAGTTATTGATGTGTTTATGCATACAGTAGTTTGCACTGTGCAGGGAAGTTTTGTCTGTGCAAGATTTTTTTTTCTTTTTTTTAAACAATGGAATCAATTCTAGCTTCTTTCCAGCCATTAGGGCTGCGGCGCTGACGTAAAAATGATAAGGAAATCACTAAAAGGAAAGTGTAGAGGTAGGAATTAGAAAACGCTGTGGAGGAACAAAGAGGACAGTACACCGAAAGATGTGCAGAAAAGAAAAGATTAGCATTCAACCAGCTCAGACCATTTGGTGCTTTGTGTTTGTTTTTTAATTATAAATAAAATGTAGAGTGTGAAAGCTGTGTGCTGACAGCTCGATGTGAAAAGGTGTTAAAAATAGTGATTTTAAAGTTTAATAGTAATAATGTCAGTCTCTTGGTCTGAAGTGCTTGAAACTCAGCCGCCAAAATGTGAATAAAGAAAAAAAAAAACGTTTTCCCTTAAACACCTCTGGAGTTGAAAAAAAAATCACTTTGGTGAAACATTTTTACATTTTAGCACAAATTTCATACAGCTGTGAAAAGAAAAATCAGCCATCCTGGCATTAAGTAACGCTGCTTTAATCATCTCTCTTCTTTTTTTTAAATTTGCATTTAATGTTTTGTACACGTGTGATTTGACAGTCACACGTTCTCCTACACAGTGTTGGTGGCTGAAGAGCAAAAACCTTCCACTAGGCAGTGAAACATCCGTTCAAATGGCAGAATCTGACAGTTCGAACGACTGAATCTGCTCCTGGTTTTGATCCGTTTAGTGTTAGGATTAGTTATGGAGCTTGTAATCAGGGTTACTCACTCCTCAGTTAGTATTTGAAACCAGCTCAAATCAAATTCAGCGCGGTGTGTTTCTGCCCAGCGCGATGAGCATTAAAGAGGCAAAAAAAACAAAACAAAACAAAAAAACACTTAAACTGCTATTTAGTTGCAGTTTAAAATACACATTTTGTCCTGCCGTGTATTAGAATTAGTACCAGACAGATGTAGTTTGAGAGAAAAAGGACAGAATAGAGAAAAATCACTTGGCTTTAGTGTCAGTCATTGCTGGTTAGATGTGCCTCAAACAAGGCGTTCAACAAAAAATTTGAATGTCAGTAGCAATAAAACAATCCTAAATATGTTCCCAAAAATAGTTAAAGGAACGGCCTGACTTCTGGGAAACACACCTCGATGGGTAGACCATCACCAGTCTCACGTATGTGCTTTGAATACAGAACTTCAGCTAACAGCTAGCCAGCTTAGCTTAGCATGAGGACTTGAAGGAGCCAGTCTGGCTCCTCCCAGAAGCAACAAACCCACCTGCTAAGCTCAGTGAGAACAGAGTAGGTAATAATCCAAATAGTTCACAGTGTGCTAACTAGAGAGCACCACATATCCCATTTACTATATCTGCAAACCAGGTGGCGCCCACTAAGTCCAGACTGAGTGTTTCCAGTTGTGAAAATATCCCGTTGTGCGCTACATGTGAGAAAAGGCAAACTAATTTGGACAACGATCCTGACTTGATTCTCCCAATGCTGTGCTGAGTTCAGATGTGAAAATTGGCTCTTGGAGGTGCTAGCAGGTGGGTTTGCTTACTTTTGGTCAAGCCCAGCTTCCAGTTTTGATGCTAAGCTCCGCTAACCACCTGCTAAGGCAACGAAACTGAGTGTTTTCCCGTAAAATGTCAGAAGGTTCTTACAAAGCTTTTAATCTTCCACAATTTCAAAGTGGATGTGTGCTTGGAGTGGGGGTGGAGCGCAGTCGTTTTCATGGCTTAGTGTAGGCCTGGGAGGATATAAACACTACTTATGGGTTTAATATTAAATGGGTAGAAGTTGCTGGTTCGCAGTATTCACCGTGGTGGGTCACTACACATTTACACATAACACTAGAGAGGGATGCACAGTTAAACCCTAAAGTGTAGACAGGCGACGCCAGTCTGGTTATTTGGCAACAGGTTCTTGGTGAAAATTCAAGTTTCTTAAGTTTGAATCATCCCAGGTTTGAGTCTCACCTCAACATACTGTAAATCTCCCCAAAACGTTCCAACAGCTGTACACGGTCGAGCAACTGCATGAATCCGCTGAGCACGTAAGAACCGCTGAGATCCCTGTGCGCCCCTGAAGCGGCGCTGAAAATAAATCCTGCCAGCATTTTCAGTAGTAAACAGCGTAGTACTGTTTCCAAAATACAAAAAATGTGAAACATGTTGCACTGATGAAAGCCTTCCTGTAGCTTCAAAGAAGGCGTGTGAACGAAATGAGTTAAGAGTTTCTTCCACAGTCGGTGTAGGAGATGAATGAGAGTTCGGCTATGTGTGTGTGTGTGTGTGTGTTTCCTTACCCAGTGCAAATAACCTGAATTATATAGACACAGTCCTTCGGCCGAGGTGGCAGGTGAAGTCGGTGTAAAGCAAACAGCGAAGGTGGAGGGGGAGGGAGACCCCATCAGGAGGCAGTCTCAGCCCTCCACCCCACCCTCCCTAAATGAAGCCTGAATCCTTCAGTCCCTGATCTGTCCGCTGTAGAGGACGTACATGACAGACAGGTGTGTTGTGGGTAAAGTGCTGGGGTGACGGGTCCCTCTGATTTTTTTTTCTTCTTCTTTAAATTAACATTTAAACATTTTTGCTGCTCTGTTCCTTCAACCAGTTCTCCAAAAGCATTACATGAACACTTCTTTCCTTCACAAATATCCAAACTTGCTCACATTTCCACTTTCAATTTTTCCAACTTCTCTCTTCCACAGTCAACTTGTCTTCTGCTTTTTTCTTCCTTTCCTTCGTATTTATTCCTCAACTTCCGTGGACTCTGCGCTTACTGAGCTCAGAAACCTCGATGAGTCAGTTCACCTTCCTGTTATATCAGGGCAACAGAAACAAAGAAATGGTGACGGGCTTTTTGATGTTCTGCGCCACAGGCTGGTGCACGCGGGGCTGATGGGTGAGTGGAACCGGGTCTAAGGGGAAACCCCAAAGTGGATAGCTACGTCAGACTGCCAATCAAGATTGAGCGACTGCAAATGGATTTACCATGCAGCCGCATCAGAATCCAGTCGACAGGATTTTGGGCTCGGCAGGTCTGCTCTCTTTGCCTGGTGTGATTGAAGGATGAAAGCATTAATTAGTAGCACAAGAGGAGAAGTTGCTATCATCGGCCAACAATATGTAAAAGTTCAAGCTGCAAATTCAGTGCGTGCTCACCATCTCCTGAGCTACGATCCAGAGACGGCGTCCTGGAGACGGTTGCCGAGCGACACTGCTGGTCCTCAGACTCCTGACTGATGGAGGACTCTCTGAGAGTTTCCAGAAGCTTATAGTGGGCCTTCTCTATCTCCTGCAAAGGAGTTAACAGTTTTAGGAAACACACTTATTTCTGGTATGTGATGTGTGCCACATTTCATTTTGTGTAAAGAAAATTGAATGAATAAATCACTAAGCTTGTTTTTATCTACACACGACTCATCATATCGATGTGGCTTTAAAGTAAGTTCACAACTGCTCATAAACAAGTAAGTGAACACTTAAATCATAGATTTTATCCTGGTCAACTAAATGTTTAAGCTGAAACTCTTTACTGACATGCTGTATAGTTCACTGACAGCAGGGTTTCTCAGTTGGATTCAGTTCTGGGGAACACGAGTACCAGACAATGACAGCAACTCCCTGCACACTGTGCCAACATGAGGCAGGCACTGTCCTGCACCACGAGGCTCACTATACCCGCATAATGTCTGATGATGGTCACCACACTGACCTCTCAGACACAACAGCTGTGAAGGAACGCTGGCTAGCAAGGGAAAGTCTGTGAGCATCCAAGGGTAGACCAAACTGTTCTCCACGGGGTCTCCTGACTCTTTCACGTCTGTCACGTGTTCAGGGTGAACCTGCTCTCATCTGTGAGGAGAACAGGCCACCAAATGCTAACTGGCACACGGCTGTGAGCACAGGTCCTACTAATGGTGCTTTTATGCTTTGTTCTCTCCCTATTGCATGGCTGTGTGACAAAACTGACACCAGTGTACGATCATGTTGGTTTTTAACCACCGTTTAAACGACAGCTCAGTAAAGCAGCTCAGAGATCGTCAGATTGCGCAGAGGGATATGCTGCAACGGTTTCAAAAATATGAGACTTCTCTTCCTATAACAGTGCTTATGTGGTGATGCTGTGTGAGTGGCGACACCTATCTTTCAGGAGAATACTGCAGCTGCTTACTGCGCCTTAACGGTGAGCAAAAATAGAAGTAACTGTGTGATGGCACCGTCTGTTTACAACAAGCAAAGCGACCGACTCAGTGGGTATCCTGGGACGTTGAAGGACGTTGGGCCCTTGAGTCTCTGCAATACAGTCTGACTAAAGTTTGGTCACAAAGCTCCACCTGAGTGACCTCCTAGAGGTCATTATGCAGGAGTGCTGCTCCTATGTTCCTGGACTAACGTCCTTCCACCCTAACCAGCCGTCCTCATGTAACAGCGTACCTCCTGCCATCTCCTCCGCACCCTTCAGACTGTGCTGGGAGACACAGTTAACGATCTTTGAGGAGCTACACTATCTGTGCACCGGACACAATCTAAGGCTATGACAGGTGTCCTGTCATCACCTTCATTCGCACCAAAGCAAATGAAACCTATTCACAATGATGTATGTTTCTTTACTGGACAGACTGAAGATTAACTGTGATGATTATGCACATTTTTCCCTCTCTTCAGATTCTTGTTTCTCAAAAGTTTCTTAAAGCATTTAATATCTAATCTTCTGCTGTTACTGTGGTCTAATAACCACACACTGAACATGGTCGGGGGTGTGGAGTTGGCACAGACAGAATAACAGCTTGCGCCGGCGGCTCTTTTATTGCCATCTTTTCCACAAAACTCACCTTCAGGTGGCGCAACTTGGTCATCAGCTCCTCAATCGTGTGAAAAATCTCATCCACGTTTCTGATTACGTGAGTGTGTTGCGCAGCCTGCAAATGGCCTGTTTCTTTTTCCTGTTCTAGTTGCATAGTCTCTGATTGGTTGGCCTCCGGGCCGCGGGCTGCCGGCTCTTCTTCCATCTGCGTCTGTGGCAACGTCATTTCCTCTACAGGTGGAGGGAAGTGGCTGGCGGTGGGTGTAGGGGGGTCGTTGAGATCTTCAGTCACGCTCTCGCCCTGTTCTATGGGCATGACCAGGTAGAAGGTATTTCCTGAATCGCAGAGGTGTAACAAAATAAGAAGTGTTTTAGTGAATGAACAGAGAGTAAAATCAACACCGCTAACATCAGATGTTATATTCTTTATTACACCTATAAAAAAACTACAGCTGTGGACCAGGTCGGTCAGCATTACCCTGCTTTTTGGCCTCGCTTCTTGACTTGGATGACTGATTGGAGGGGAGGGTGACATCATCAGTGATGTCTTCAGCGACAGAAGAAGAAGAAGGAGGAGGACCCGCAACCACAGCTACGCACACAGAGGATAGACTTGTGACAAAAGAGGAGTGCACTGAAAGGTGTAAAGGAGTGAAGAGTTGAACTAAAGCAACCAGTGTGCCGTCACGTTCTCAACAGCGAGAAGATAAAGTGCGTGAGAGAGAAGACATGCAAAGGACGGCGGCCATTATTCACACCCAGATGTCATATAAGCAGATGACAGTGACCACGTGTCACCTCATTGGGGGAAAAAGGTGCAAATTATAGCTTAAGATGTTTAATTATCTGAGAATTTAGTGCAATCGTGAGTGAGCGGCTGCTGAAAAAAAGCATGAAAAAACGGGTGCTCGGCAGCCAGGCTGTGTTTACCTTTCCTCACAACCTGAGGTTTGGGTGCTTTTGCAAGCAGCAGCTCTTCTGGCTCCGCCTCCCATTCATCGGTGCAGCAGCTGAGGACCGTCTCCAGAGACTCCGGTCGCTGCCTCTCTGTGAATGAGTTGCTTTCAGCGGCCGTCTCATTGGTGGGTGTATCATCTGAATCGTGGCTCCAACAGTCCTCTCCGAAATCTTGTAATATGAGCTGCCGCAGGGTTTCAACTGTAAAATTTTTTAAAAGGGATGAATTTTGGATTAGCGATGATTCGGGTTTAAAGGTTCGATTTCTTTCTTTTCTACTTTTTATGTTCCACAATCAGAAGAAACAGAATCCAACGTAAAATACTCGGAGGCTCTCACCGTCTTGCAGAGCGGCCTCCGCCACGCCTTGTCCTTTGAGCAAAGCTTCCGATTGGTCCACAGGCGTACTGTGGGAGATCGCGGGCTCGTCGCTGTTGGAATGAGTCTCCGTGGAGTCTGACTGCTCCGTCATCGAGTTATCTGGGAGAAAGCGAAGTTGGAGAAAGCTTTTTAAAACATCTGCAGAATGTTTACAGATCTGAGGCCGACGATCGCGGCGTGGTCATTACCTCCGTAGGCATTGCTGCCAGTCGAGACGGGGGAAGAACTGCGGAGACTCGGGGACCTGGAGGAAGAATAAAGAGTATGACGCATATTTTTGGATTAAAAATAAACAGATCAAAAGAACATACAGATCATCATATTGTGTTTAAAACAAGGATGTCAAACATAAGGCTTGCGGGCCAGAATCAGCCCACCAAAGACTCCAATCCTGCCAGTCGGACTGTTTTGGAACATGTGAACTCTGCACTTTTAAGTTTGGTAAAGTTTGACAGCTTTTCCTGCTTAAACATGACCACTCATACGACAATAACACAAATAAGTGATAGTTACATAATTAAATGACAGAAAAGTTCAATTTTTTTCACTGTCTAATCAGGACATTTCATCAAAGAAATGATTCAAATCAAATCTACTCACGACATGGGTATCGAGCTGTGATTCATCAGAGGTGACGATCCGCCGGCGGCAGAGATGGCCTTTTCCAGTAAATCTTTCCAGCTGTTTAACAAGAAGAAGTTAAGACATTTTAAATTAAGTGAAGAGTGCAGCACAGCACAGGTTTCCTCAGGTAAATGTGAATGAATCAAAGAACCGAGCTTACGTCTCCTTCTTGGATGTTGTTGCAGCCACCAGCTCATAGATCTGCATATCTGTGGTGCTGATGATGTAAAGAGCTTTCTTGTCTAGAGAAAACAGAAATAAAAAATAAAATTAGTAAAAAAAAAGGTAATTAAATATTATTTTAAAATTACAAAAACAGAGAAACAAAAGGCTACGAGCGTACCTGTAGCTACCGGGCGAACAAGCAGCGATGCCAGGTTCACTAGAGGGCTGAAAGAAGTCTTGCTGTCACCGCTGCCTCCCCCGCCTCCACCCAATCTGCTGGAATGATTTCGCAGCTGTAGGCGGTCGTCCGGGCCCTTCTGAAGGAGGACGAGGCAGTCTGACAGCAGCAGCGCTTGGATCTCTGACACAGGAATGCAGATATTTGTGGTTAGAAGGCCTGAAACTAAACTGATGAGACATAATGACCACAGCGATGCTCACCTATCAGCTTTTCTTTGTTAACTTTCCAGGTGAGAGGACCTTCATGGATCATTCTCTTCGTGGTGAGGTCCACATTCTGCGTGAAACAAGAACAAAGCGAAACATTTACAGATCAAAAATGAATCGTTGTCATTTAAAAATCAGAAGAAAAATAAAGTTTTAAACTTGTCCGTCACCTTGAACTGAGGAGCAGCATCCAGCCTGCACTGGTACTCGCTGAGGCGCTGCCGGTGCTCCGATTCCCTAACGTCCTCATTGACGCTCTGCAGTATCCCTCGGCAACACGCGTGCGCTCGCTGGAGCAAGGGCAAATCTGATGAGCCCGCTAAAATCAACAAAACAAAATAAGATCATGGTTCCTAGCAACAGCTCAGTTTGTGGTCAGGGTTATGTTGGATCTGCTTTTCCTCACCTTCTGTGTATTTAACGATTTTGTCCAGCAGCAGCGGGTACTTGGTGAGTCTCTGCATCTCTGACACCAGCAGGTCTTTGAGCTGTAACCTGCGGCAGTGAGGACTCGCCTCACACTCCTGAACAAATAAAACAACGCGGTCATGTTTAAACACAACTATACGCTTTATTACACCTATGACACATATACACGGTATAATAACTATCCTGTACACAGAACTATTTAGTGCACACTCGAATATCACTTGATATAAAGCGATTAATAACAACTGTTCCTCAACACAAATCAGTCACCAATCATCCAATCACATGGAAGCAACTGAGTCAGGATGACCTACTGAAGCTCAAACTGATTTAAGGGACTGTGAACATCTGGTTCCTTTGGACCAAACTGATCATCATTTAAACACCACAGGCTGCCTCGTCCACGTCCACCCCTTTATGACCACAGTGTACCTATTTTCTGATGGATGCTTCCAGCAGGACAACAAGTCATGTCACAAAGCTTGAATCATCTCAAACTGGTTTCTTGAACATGAGTTTACTGCACTCAAATGACATCCAGTCACCACATCACAGTTCAATAGAGCAGCTTTAAGTGGAAGAACAAACTGCAGCAACTACGTCATGCCGTCATGTCAATACAGATCAAAATCTCGGAGAAATGTTTCCAGCACCTTATTGAATCTGTGGCACGACGAATTAAAGCAGCTCTGAAGGCCAACCTGAAACTAGCAAGGTATACCTAATAAAGTGGCCGCTGTGTTTTTGATGATAATGACAGAGCATGTTTGCTTCCTGAAAAATTAACTGGAAAATGCAAAGATTTCACACAAATCGGCCACAGACACGACCTCCTGCTCGCTGCTTTCTCACTGTGGTGAAACAACGAAGGCTTGCTTCAGACTAAGACGGCGTCCTGTACGTTCGGTGTGAACTTGCTCAGGATTATCACAGTGAATGTATAATCCCGGCAGGAAAGCACAGATGTGGGAGTGTGAAGATGCAGGGCTTCACGAGAGCAAAGGATGTTGGGAAAAACTACATTTAAATCATAAGAGCCTAACGGCGGCTACAGAACTTCTAAGATTTCTCTGTAAGGAGTGTTATAACATAACAATACCCAACAGGAAAGCTTGAATTCATGTCCTCTCACGAAGCAAAAAATAGAGAGACTATGAGCTGAGACAGTGAAAAAGAAAACGCAGCTGGGAGGAAGCAAAACTCTAGAAATGATGCAACATTGACCTCCTGTGTGCCAAAAGAGACCATGTCATTAAAAATGAAGGCAAACACACAAAGTATGAAATGTTAAAATATTTTAGTCCCAGTAAACAACAGCCCCTCCGACTGTGTGACTTTTACTTTGGTCTTTTAAATCTGAACTGTTGAACTTAGAAGTGCAGTTATTGTAAGGTGACACAGTTTTGAACAATCTGACAAACTGTACACACATGAACACACTTCTGTCGTCAACTGTGAGTAAATTACACACTTTTTTAAAATGATGTGTTCACTGCATAAAGCTTTAATAAGCACAAGGAGCATCAAAGTGTGTGTTGCATGAATATTTTACATGTTTTGTCAGAGGCTGCGTGTGTGTGTGTGTGTGTGTGTGTGTGTGTGTGTGTGTGTGT